TTGATTGGAGGGGGCGACTCAACAACACGGGTACTCTACGGCCCCCTGGCATCATGTACATAACTGGGGCGGGGGCCTCAGGGCAAAAATTATTTATTTAACCGGTGTCCTGTTAATCGCCACCAGTGACATTCGCTCCCAGTGACTATCACGGAAATACTAGCAGAGCACCCGTCCTTCGTACGGGGTTGGCATATAAGTATAAAATGCTTATTGCAGTTATACTTAAGCTTTGCGTTTGCAATGGGGGGAGGACCCAGTTTGATCAAATTTGGTTCATAAATTTACGGTATGATATAGTATAACACATCTACCATTGCCATAATGTTCTACCATTGCACCTAAACAATAGAAAAAATAAACTATCAAACATTCGCACAATATCACAAATTATTCATTAAATTAAAAACTCAAACCTAACTGTAAACAATCCTACTTTGACAGCTCTCATTGTGTATCACAGCTTTTTGTTGCTGCTTAGTTCAAATTAGCTGTTGTCATATATGCACAAACAAAATAATAATAGTGCTGCACCCTGTTGGGAAACATTATAACTTTTTAATGCTATTGCATAGTATAGAACCAACTTGTAAAGTTGAAACAGCTGACTAAATTCTTTAATTCCCTTTAAATATGAATACTCATAAGGTTAACATGGGGAACTACAGACCCACTGGGGCGGAGCCCGAAAGGATTTTTGAGATAAGAATATGCCTAATTGTTAATAGGGAATGTGAGCTATCATCATGCCAAATTTCAGCCTTATCCGTCCAGTAGTTTATGCGTGATTGAGCAACACCCAAACATACACACACACTCACAAACTTTCAGATTTATAATATTAGTAAGATTTCAGTAAAAATGTAATCAGACAAGTTGAAATTCCCTTAGTCTGCAGGTTTGCTGCAGCGGGGGTATTTATTATTTTACCAGTACTTGAAAAATCTTTGTAATAGGTGATCTTTTTAGCAAGACTTATTATTATTATTTTTTATTTTTTTGAGAGGTCGGTGGCTACATTAATTTTATTGAGGTTCCCGTTTTGTTCTTTTAAATATTATCATTGACTATAAGTCAATTATATTATTCGTCCATGTATGTATTTTGATACATACTAAAATTATTATTATATATTATTACTAGCTGTAACCCGCGGGCTTTGCCCCGTTTAACTTCTTAATTTTCAAAATTATCTCGTTCGCATGGCTCAATCACGTCCTGGTTGAAGTTTGTTCGCTACGCTCACTCACCTTTAGGTTGGAGCTCGTTCGCTACGCTCACTCACCTTTAGGTTGGAGCTCGTTCGCTACGCTCACTCACCTTTGGGTTGGAGCTCGTTCGCTGCGCTCACTTGCCTTCAGGTTAGCTCGTTCGCTACGCTAACTCGCCTCCAGGTTGAAGTTCGTTCGCTACGCTCACTCACCTTTTGGTTACAAATTAGCTGTTGTCAGAAATGTAAAAGAAATAATAGTGCCGCACCCTGTTGGTAATCCTTGTAACTTTAAAGCTATTGAACATCATAGAACAGAACCAACTTGTTTAATTGAAACAGCTGTTAATATTCGATAATTCCATTTCTCATAAGGTTAACATGGGAAACTGCAGAGCCACTGGGGCGGAGCCCGAAAGGATTTTTGAAATAAGAATATGCCTATATGTTAATCGGGTATGTGAGCTATCATCATGCCAAATTTCAGCCCAATCCGACCAGTATTTTTCGCGTTCACTTGTCACAAACATACATCCATACATCCATACATCCAAACTTTCTCATTTATAATATTAGTAGGATTATTCATTATACATGGCTTACTAAACATTTAATATGGAAGCGTTGAGATAATTAACATTTTGCAAAGGTTGGTTAATATTCAGTTTTTTTTCCGCTCATAACATTTCTGTAGAAAACTTCTACCCTCCTACCCCCCCCCCCCTACCCTTATTTTCTTCGGTGAAAGGGATATTCCGTACTCCCCTTCCATACCAATATGTCTTGTCCGCCCCCCTCCTAGCAAAACACAGATTTCTGGATCCGCCAAACTTTTGTAAATGAAATTGCATCTAACATTTTTCCAATTTTTTTAATTCTCTGTAAAACTAAACTAGAACTAAAAATGAAAATTGAGTACTTACACATGAAACGACGGGCCATCCTTAGTTTGTCGGTTGGTGCAGTTGATGGCGACACACGATATAACCATTTTATCAACTGAATTTAAAAACCGTGTGATACGTTTCTTACGCGCTCTGGTGCGAATCCGTATTTATCGAAACTTTCAGGCGATGGCACTTATTGGCAATGTCGAGTGCCAAGCTGGTGCCACCACCACGCTACGGAAGGCGGATGCCGTAACCGTAAGTAGAAACCCCCCTCCATTCTACTGAAGCAGTTATACCAACTGCAAAGTGCCGTAAGGTTTGAGGATTTTGTTCTACTCCTCTCTCTCGTACACATAGCGCTGCCGCAGCTGAACAACGGCTGGTGTCTGGTAGGTGTGAGATGTGACGTTGGCAATACGCACGACCTTGGCAGTTCTCTGATATTCCCCCCACCACTTGCTTGATGCTCTTTGTTATCAGAACAAGTTGTATGGATTGGGAATTTTAGTTCATGATATGATTTTAGAATAAACTTTTAGTTCTTAAAGTATTAGAGTTCTAAAGTCAACATTTTTGTTTAAATAAAGTAATAAGTCGAACGTGATTTTGTATTATTCGTTTAGTTGTATAAAGAGAGATCCATTGCGTGGTTATGTACTGTCGAAACCATCCATAGTACAGCGACTACAGTTGTTTCGTGCTGCCGACGGAGGGATGATGGAACACAATATACCATCCATAGTACAGCGACTACAGTTGTTTCGTGCTGCCGACGGAGGGATGATGGAACACAATATAATCAGGTCACGGAGGAGCTTGTCAGAAGTTTTGGACTGTACAAATAACACAGACACATGACATAACACGAAAAACACACGAAACGAAAGCTTTAAAACTTATAAATAACACTGCACGTGCTGCAGTGGTGGCAGAGGACCCCATTGGGAACAAGTCGCTCTGATTGATTATGTATATAGATAGACATTTCATTCTCATTTTCACGTTGTAGCCGGTACTGGTGATAGAATAAGAACGTAGTTGGATTGAGTGTCTGCCGATGTCTAATCCATAAACTTTTAAAACCAAGTTTAACTGAGTGGTCAAAGTGTTTACAACTATAGCATTTTTGTGTAATACTAAAAAACTAAAGCATCTATGATATAAAGCCATTAGGAATGTCAACCCACTCAAACCTAGGAAAGGAAACATATTTTATAAAGGAGCTCACCTTAAAAGGGCTCAATGAACCATCGATTTGAATATAGAATGGGCTATAAGCTGGTCCATGTGTTAGAATGTATATTTTGGTATCTGCAAGTCAATGCCACACCAATAATGTACAACCAAACCGTACACAAACAACCAAAATATAAATACGTGAAGCCTATATCGTCCTAGCAATACAGTAACATGAACTCCTACAATATATCTAAGGCAACCCACTAACCGTCCGATGCTGCGGAGGCTGCATCTGTTTGTAAGGCGGCGCTGCCAGTCCAAGTTGTATGAAATGAAGTAAAAGTACTTTTACTGTACTCCATACATATTGCTGCCAGCCAAAGAGTAACGTAGGGCAACACGAAAATGATTAAATCTGTTGGACACGAAACAAAAATGGGATAAGGTTGGATGGAGGGAATATGCGAGTACGACGCGAAAACATTATCCGTCAACCAACGTTTCAATGACAAGCATAATCTGAAGACTATGTGGTATTTGCCATTGTAAGTTTGGTCAGACATCCTCAAGTAGGAACATCGCAGATTTGATGAAAGAAAACGCTATTCTATTTTCGAAAAAAGAAACGATTAGTCGAGCAGTCAATATATATTTTTTCAGTATATAGTAATTTAGTGTTGGCGTTCGGAAGCAATTTGAATGCTCTTGAAACGGTGTTATTTTCCGTAAAAATCCAACCCTTCCTAAAGATAAATAATGCCTTCTTATGCATGTCTATAAATAGCTTATGAGTTTACGGATATAGCCGACAGACAATTAACAATAATTATTCATATCTAGTGTACCTGTTGTTCAAATTCGAGGGATTGCGAAGTATTACAGGCGTTATTTTAAAACCGATAAACAGGCATAATTTCCAAATTACTTTTTAAAAAGTCGACTCAAAGATTATGTACCTAACAGTTCGATATAATCCAAATTTCTTTTAAATATATAATCATTTTTCAAAAGCTGATCTTGTTTTCTACAAATGTTTCCCACTCATAGCCAAAGTCTTTCTTGTATGTTTCCATAGTTTGCATTTCGGCTTTTTCAATGATTGCTCAAGAAATAAAGCACAGGGTTATTTCAGTTTTCTTCTTAGTACCTAACATATATTAAATTGACTGGGTTTTCTCGCTTTCTCCATTATAATATTTACGCCAACCGCCAACCCAAATTCAAATAGTAAATATTTCATTTCAACCAAGTCAGTAATGTTTGTAGCAGACGTTTCCTTAAATTGCAACTAAAATATTAACAGCAATTACATTATGCAACTGATCGTATGTAAACAAATAAGTTCTTTATAAGGATAACATGGAATCTTCAAAAGCCACTGGGACAGAGCCCAAGGGACTTTTTCAAAAATGTAAGGTCCGTTTGCAAATCTACACGAACATTTTGGTCTTAAAAAAAACCTCATTGTTCACTAAGCGTCATGTAGCGTATTAACAATATAGATTTTCACCATAACGCCCTTATACTAACATAAAAAACCTATTTGAAAAATTAATAGTATGAATTAATTAAATGTATATTAAGCCAGCCACTAACTTCGTCCCGTATTTAATATGAACACGAATGTAGGTTTTGGCTATTATTTTCAAAATACAATTAGCGTCCATCGTAAGCACAACATGATTAGCAGTTATTACATATAAATGACATACAGTACTCACCACATAAGGGATTCTTGGCAGGGTGGGTTGGCCAGGTGCGCAGTAGGGTAGCGGCGTTGCGTCGTGTGTCTTGCGGTTGCGCAGATCGTTCATGAAGGCGTGTGGCGGGAAGTGACGAGCGCAAACATACCTCGTGCGCAGCTTCTCTACCGGCAACTTCAGCAGGTCTGGCCTGTTCATCAGCAGCGCCCAGTCTCGACATCTGGAAATTAACAAGAGAAACTAAACCAGCCAGTAATTCTTTGATTGACATTTCTATACTTTCGGCCTTGGAGATTCCTCCGACAACAAACTCAACTATTTTGGGCATGTTTTTATTTCTCATGTTTTTTTAAGATTTTATTCTTACAGCGCCGATGCAACAGGTTGCGTATTTCAACGTGGTGCGAGTGGAGGTTGAGTGTTATGAATAAGGTTTTAGCTTTGTTAATAGGTTGACTAGCTCGTTCCTTAGACGGAACTCTTTATTAAAAGCCCAATACAGAAGTCAAAACAGAAGTGTCAAGTATCAAACGATCAAAAAGTTCTAATTTTCCCTGGATCGAATCGGCGACCTTTTTATTACAAGACGATATATTTTTCTTATTGTATGAACTTTGAGGCCAGAAGAATCACCAAACTCTGCAAGTTTCGTACTTTGTCGTTTTGGGTTCTGTCTACATACAGTATAGTGTAGCAGCCTCTATTTGAAAAAAGAAAGCATTCATCAGAATCTTTCCTGTCCGTGTCCTTTCCTATGTAGTGTAAGTGCCTTACATTTCAATGGGACACACTTCGTTGTAAGTCAGAGGGCCCCAGATCTACCCCTCATTAGAGCTGGGGCCCTATGACCCTCCTGCCAATGGGTACAGAAAGCTGACAGGTCAACCGAGCACCACTTTGAAATATAGCATTATCGTATATCAGGACTTCCTAAGACACGAGCAAAACTGACGTCTCAGCTAAGGGGTGTTTAAATCACGCCCACTAACTTTTGAGTTACACAACACGAGTTGAATAAATTAATTTTACGGGCTGTGCATCTACAGTTTTCTGAAACCTTATCTATTGTTATTGCCAATCTAATCTATCAAGCTTTGTCTATTTTTATTAAACTCCTATATCTAGAGAGAGGGGGGTAAAATTCCACCCGAGAACAAACTTAAAAACGCTCAGGTTACGTCATAGTGACGCCAGTTTTGCTAATTTACAATTCCGGCGATCAAAAACTACTATAATTTTATAGGAAAATCCTCATTCAAATAAAGAATACAAATTTCAAAAAAGAAAACTATAGAATCAGGTGAAAATAATTAGATCTAGATGGAAAAAAACACAGTCGAAGAATAGCTCTGTTATGCGATTGTTGCGCTTTAAAACATCCACACTCACAAACCTCACTCCGAAAATGACTTTTTCGCCACACTCTACAATTAGCACCACTTCTTTATGTACTCTTTTGGACCAAAAAATCGTTGTTTACATAGAGCGACCAGGGACCGTTGATTAAGCTTAAGCACAGAAAACATACTATTACTATTACCGTAACCGTTGTATGTTTTCTGTGGCTTAAATACGGTACATTTACCGGCCAGTTTTGCAATATGCTACAACAATGCTATGCTGTCGAAGAAGCTACCTCTCGTGATTATCTACTGATGAACTTATATTAGAAGATGCATTACAAAAGAGAATATTAAGAAATTCTACATGAAATAATAGTGAAGTGAGAATATGTATAGACCCTCCTTTCACTCGTTTTTTGAATATTACTTTTCGCTACACTACAAGCGCTAATTATGTAATAACGCTAGTTATGTTAAAACAGGCTTTGGATATTTTTTGTTTGTTTGTCAACTGTTTCAATGTTCAAAAACAAAAAACGTACAACTAAAGTAAATATTTAAATTGAAGGCTTGAACTAAAAATGCTATAACTTTTGTAATGTTCCTAACTGTAACAAAGAAATATCCAACGTTTGTTTTAATTATGAAAATAATAGGTCTTTGTAGTGTAGCGAAAAGTAACGTTTAAAACCCGATTGAAAGTAGATCATGACCACGGAGCATTGTTTGGTGCTCTGTCATTAGGCTACATATTCTCGACCATACTCAAATAAGTAATGACTCGAATTATTCTACTCTTGTTATGAAATAAACTATTAAGCAAGGGTTTTTACTATTTGAATCATTATAGTTACTTTTTCATATTTTTAGTTGATTTTTAGTTGTAAACCCAAACCACCTTGTTTTTACTTATATTTTTTGTAACCTGTATATTGAAAAATAATAAACCTTTTTAATGTTTGAATGTATTCTGGAATATCATTTGTCTTCCCATTTATGTAAGCCTATAAACATAAGTATACTCATGGAAAAGACAAACTAAACTTAGGCAGATTATTATTTGTTATTATTTTTTATTTATTTATTTTTTATTTTTTTTTGAAGAAGTAATTGGTATTGTTTCATTGAAGCAACATTGTCTATTGTTTATTTTAATTTTAGTTCTATAATTGACATGACCAATGCAAATTTTGTATTTGTTATTTTGGTTCAATAAACGAGTTATGAGTTAATTTCTATTTCATCACTTTAAAAAAAGTTATCACTTTAAAAGTCATAATTTCAACTTAATTTTATTATATTTACGGCTTACTGCAGTAAGAATGAATCATACCAATGTCAAAAACAGAAATAATTTAAATCAGCATTGTTACTCAAGTTTTTATTTCATGGAAAAATGCGCAAAAAATCCAAAGGAGAGTTGCCAGATTTAAATTTAAATGCCTCCATGTTTTATATCCTTTTTGCAGTTATTTATTTTTCACGATGTTCTATGCTTTCCATTATAAACTCCGCAAAACTCTAAATTCCCAATGTCGATTTTTTAAATCAAATCAAAATAATATACAGTAATTTACTGTGTGTGTTTTGCACGAAACCCAAATAAACCCATATTTGTCGAAATTACAATAATGCAACAATATAATTTTTGGCCCAACAACTGTACAACTAATGGTTATGTTTGTCTATAGGCCTATTTGAATGTATTTATTTGACGTAGGCCTACATAAAAATACTGTAAACGATTGATCTTTTGACTTTACCAATGATTGGACCAATAGTTAACAATAAACCAGTTCCAGTGTAGGCAAAAACAAAGTGCGCTTTGTCTGAAAATATCGAATTCCCAAAATGACATTGCTATCTCTTGTGATGCACACTTTTGAGATAACAGACGAGTCGAGTTCTTGACACAGTACATTCAACACTATTGATGTAGTATAGAAAATCCTCATCTACTGAGTTAGCAACACAGAGCACTATCGTGAATTCGCTGCCAGTGGCAGGACCTCACGAGAAAATCACTGATGCTCTAATTCCTACCATTTCTTAATTCCGTGATTTATCACCCAAACTCCGTGATACAGCAATTTTGGAGCTGGAAGTTCCTAAAATAACCAGAAACTGTCTAATTAACGGTAAAACTTCTGCAGAAACTATTTAGAAATCCTAGATAATCTTGCTTATAGGCCTATAACATTGACTATATATACCTACAGTTAGGTACTGTAGGTATACAGGGTGTCCATAAAAACGTTTCAGGACTTTGGGAAATGAATCCCTATACTAAAAGGAAGAAAAAAGTGTATGGGAAGGTATGTCCGAAAATGCATATTTACCCAGATATCCGCCATTTTTTTTACACAAAAATATTTTTATCTGTGAAGTTTTTTATTCGATAATTATGAAATTTGGTAAACATGTTAACATACACAATACCCATAATAGAAAAAATAACAAAGATAAAATAAACATAACAGACAAAATAACAAAGATTATGATATTTGGTAAACATGTTAACATACACAATGGTAATAGAAAAAATAACAAAGTTGGTCCGATTGTAAAGTTCAAAATGGCGGCTAATTCTATGAAAAATGTCAAGAATACATTTTTTTGCATTTTTAATTTCTTATCAAACAATACCAAGATCAAAAAGATCGGACAAAAGATAACTGAAATATAACGGTTTTTGTGTAAAAATAAGGCAAAAATTAAGGGTTCCCCGAGACCGACTAACTTTGCCTTATTTTTACATAAAAAAACGTTATATTTCAGTTATCTTTGGTCCGATCTTTTTGATCTTGGTATTGTTTGATAGGAAATTAAAAATGCTAAAAAAAGTATTCTAGACATTTTTTATAGAATTAGCCGTTTTTGAGTTACAGTATTTAAGTTTAAAAAAAGGCATTAAAAAAAAACATTTTGAAATTTACAATCGGCTCAACTTTGTTATTTTTTCTATTATAGATATTGTGTATGTTAACATGTTTACCAAATATCATAATCATCGAATAAAAAACTTCACAGATAAAAATATTTTTGTATAAAAAAAAATGGCGGATATCTGGGTAAATATGCATTTTCGGACATACCTTCCCACAAACTGTTTTCTTCCTTTTAGTATGGGGATTCATTTCCCAAAGTCCTGACGTTTTTTATGGACACCCTGTATGTATAGTCAATGCTTATAACTAGTGAGTCAATCAATTTGTGGAATAGTGTCAACGATGGTTTAGAATGTTTTTAACACAGTTTCCGTTTGGGATGGACTAGACAAAACAAAAAGTTAAATATGTTTTTAGCGAATTTCCCATAGGGAAGTAGCTATAACCGTGGTGGCATGATAAGGCGTGGGCTCGGGACCAATGTGCTTTTTCATTTCGATGTCTCTAGAGGTCAAAAACACTAGTCGTTAAAAAAATATATATTATACGTCGGTAAACGCGATAACTTATATTTTTTTGTTTTCCCCATTTTGATGAAATTTGGCTTAAAGGTGTAAGACGGGATAAAGAGGAATGAGGAAATGAGGAACCAGCATGATCGGACGGGCGCACATGAAAAGAGCCCAAAAACTCAGGCAGACGCTTGAAAAGCGCCTGGACCTCCAAGGTCCCACCCAGGACGGTGCGAAAAGAGCCCGGTCTCTTTCTAGAACTTTCACAACGGGTCTTCAAAGGAGAAGATCCAATAGTGCAGTTAAAATACATGAAATTATTTACAATGTTAAAAGATACACTGTTAAAATATACATTAATAAAATATATATTATTCAAAGATATTTACATTACTAAAAGATATAGTCTGTTTACCTAACCTAACCTAACCTAGCCTAACCTTACCTAACCTAACCTAACCTAACCTAACTTAACCTAACCCAACCAAACAGAACACTATTTACTAAAACACTACTATATATACACTATATAGGTACACACAATTTATAGTCAGCGTCCTCCTCGTCAGGTACCTGTGGAGACCCGGGCTCTTTCCATGCTTAAGATTAGTGAACCTTTTTGGGGATTAAAATTTCGGGCTCTTTTCATGTGCTCCGGATCGGACTATGGGAAAGGGGGTTTAGATGGGGGTTTTATGGGGTGAAAATTGAGTTTTCTCATTTTGACCCTCAAAACATAAAATTTCCCAACTTTTCTTTAAACCATTTTAAAGAGCTTAAAAACAAATAATTCAGTATAATGAAGTGTTTTTTTTTATGGGTTTCGGTTAAGGAAAATATTCAACAAGTTTTACAAAATTCCCATGTTATTCCTTATATTATGTAGTAGAGAATAAGTTAAACTGTTGTAGTCTGCTTGTTTATGGATGTATTTTGATCAAACCTGGTAAATCTATTTTTGTATACCAAGCTTTTAATATTTTGCCAAAAACATACTTCATTCATTACCCTCACTGTAGCAGCAATCCTAGGTAGCCTACTTATTAAACCTAATGTTATTTAAATAGATTTATAATTGAAAATTCAATCAGGTAAATGGAAATTCGCTTAGTCTGCAGGGTTGCTGTGGTGGGGGTATTTTTAATACGAAACTGTCATTTACTGGTGCACTCACGATAGGTCGTTTGGATTCTGAACGTACAGTTTGAAATTTTATTAACGTAATCTTGAACGAAGATAAAGAACTAATTTGTTTTAGTATAAGTAGGCCTACCTAACTAAACTCGTTGATTTTAAAGAATGCTGTTTAAAATGGTATTTAAACCTATTTCAAAACTACCTACCAATAAATACGCTACAAAACAACACTAGACATTCAAAACATGCTATCCTAATGTTTAACTATCATGAAAGCTAAACAACCTCAACCACGTGTTTCACAACCACCGCTACAACTCGAATTAAATTTTACCTTTTCTCACTTTTCGCAGGAAACCGGAAGAATGATAGATGTCTGTCGACCTGAGACCAGCGACCGCAGCCGAAATATTCGCACTTATTCCCGTACTTGACCATGACAAGCTACCGTCTGCTTGTGTATTGACTCGACTCAGGCGCCTGACGGGGTGGTCGATGGTGGCGCTTCTACCAGCCGAGTGGCAGAGTGACGAACTAAACCACCCCTCGCCTTTGTATTGACGTGCTAGAGAGAGGCAGGGTGAGTGGGTGAGCGAGTTAGAGAAGGGGACGAAGGGTCTTTTGTCCAAAAATTGGACCTTGAACGCTTTTGTTTAGGCTCATAGGCTCAGGTTCGCAAGAGCTTCGAACAAAAGTGATTGACCTGAAACAGTTACGACCTGTTTACCTTTTTCTTGAATATCGTTGTTGGATAACTTATCGTATTTCCTTATCGTATGACAAAGTTCTGCTTGGTTAATAATTTTTTTAATAATTTTCATTCATCAGGATAGTTAGTTTTACCAAATGACTCGAATATGTGTGTACAACATATTATCACGGCTAACCTAATAACCCACTGTATTGTTGGGAGTGTGTACACTTTTTAAAATTAATCCATTTTCCAGTTTGAGTACGTTATCATTTTCCTTTAGCAAACTAGTTTTGTGAACACATTTTGAAATCATTACCTTTTTTCATCAGTCTATATATATATATATATAATCCAATGTGTGTTTGTTTATTTGTATGCATGTTTGTTTGTTTGTCCTTTATGGACTCCGAAACCGCTTGACAGATTGTAATGAAACTTTCAGGCATTATTAAGCATTATTTGAGGATGGTTTGTGTGAAGTTTGGTGCAGATCCGTCAAAAGGGCTCCACCCCAGTGGCTCTGGAGTTTCCCATGTTTACCTTATGAGTACTCATATATAAATGGAATCAAAGAATCTTAACAGCTGCTGGTTCAACTAAACAATTTGATTCTGTAGGTAATGTTTATGAATAGGTAATTTTGTTTTAGTTAAGATCGGTTTATCAAATCATAAGAAATCGACCACTCGTTGACATACCGGTATTGTTTAAAATGTAGTTTTTATCCCGTAAAGCACACATATTTAAAACGATGGTTGGATAACTGTGTCGGGACGTATATCTTGTACATGCATGTTTAATACAAATGGTTTGTTGCTGTATTAGGTATTCCAAAATTTTGATGGCTAACCCAAGAATCTGAATCTTTATTGTAAGCACCGACAAGTGAGTCAGAAAACATTTTTAGAAAATGTAATAGACAAAGTCAAATTGTTGTTTTTAACAAAAGGAAAAAGCCATGTATGTAAGCCAAAGTTAATGTTTAAACCTCTTGTGTGGCCTAAAGCTATCATCAAATAAATTTATAAAGCTTTTGTAAGTGTTCTTTTGTGTGTTATGTATTTAAAACACCTGAAAACTTGAGTCAGAAACAGAAATTTCTCAAGCGAAATTGTAAAAATAGCCCCGCCTCAGCAAATCTGCAGACTAAGCGAATTTCTATTTGCGGAATTGATAAAATTTGCCGAGTTGGGAGTTTTATCAAAATATTTCCACAAACAAGCAAACTTCAACATCTATTCTATACTGTATATAATTCAGTTTTAAAAATCTTTGTACAACTAAATCTAGAGTTCTACTGGACAGATTTTATTAATTATTGGGTCGTTGGAAAGCTTATTTCGTGTAGATTTGCAAATAATAATGAAATTTTGGTTTTGTTATGATTTATGGCAAAAAATTAAAAAAACAACAAGTTTTCCATAAGAAATACATTGAAAATGGTGTTTTTCACACTTTTTATTTTGATGCAACTTTTGGCTTCTTATTTTGAATATTTCCAAGCAGTGCGTGGTACCAATTTGTAGGAAATTATATATTCTTTCAGAATATCACCTTCCACTTTGGTCAATTTCCTCAACATTTAAAAGTTATTTGCAAAACAGCTAAGTAACCTCTGAATTTATAGTAATGAGAAAATACTGAGTTAGGGATATTTCTGCTTTGTACGACTATAAAATCTAGACTTCTACTGGACCGATTTTGTTAATTAATGGGTCATTGGAAAGTCTAATTCATGTAGATTTGCAAATAATTATGAAAGTATGATTTTATTTAGTATTTGTGAAAAAAAGTAAAAATAACAAAAATACATTAAAAACTGCTTTTTCAAGTTTCTATTTGTAGCCAGCTTTTGGCTGCCTTTATTAAGCATTTTCAAGAAATACTTACTAGAGACCGTTGTATTTAACCACAACGGGCTCTGTTGCTAGTTTTACAATATTCTCCATAAGAATTACGTGGGAATTTTAAATTAGCAATTTTTGGAATTTTTCTCCGTAGGTAAAATAACCGTGCAAAAACACTTCGGTATAAAAAAACACTTTGGTGAGTCGGTGGCTCAGTCGGTAGCGTCACGGACTTTGATGTCGTGGGTTCGGATCCTGGTCACTGCCGCAAACATTTTTATCAGTACTGTTCACCTTCGTACTGTACCAAACCGGCTCACCCCTTGCTTTGCTGGATACGTTCCACGCACAGATCTATAGTCTATGTGGACGGGCAAATGCAAGGTTAAAAGAGGTCACCTTAAAAAAAAAATAAATAAAAGAAATACTAATTAATTTCTTTTTTAAGCTCTTTAAAATGGTCTAGGAAGAAATTGTTTTTTTGTGTAAAAAAATGAGAAAACCATATTTTTACCTAATAAAAACCCGCGTAAAACCCTGTTACCATGGTCCGATCATGCCGGTTCGCGAACTCATTCAACATTCAAGTTTATCCCGCCTTACACACTCAAACCAAATTTCATCTAAATCGGACAAAAATTACTCAAGTTATCACGTTAACGGACGTATGTAATAAATCTACGTATAAATCGGACGTATAAATCTACTAAAACTACTAAAACTACCTATATATATATATACAGGGTTATTACAAATGATGTTCCTGATTTTGATTATAAATATTACTGGGTTAATTTGTTTCAAGACTATTTTAGTTGGTACAATTGGAAAGAAAAACTCGCAAAGTTTCATTTACATTGGTTTGGGTGCATATCAGCTGTTTGTCAAGTCAATTGTTGTAAGTGTTGTGTAATGGCTGAATTTGAAGGCAGGAAAGCTTTTCGCCAGTTGGAATATTACATTAACAAATCTGTTATTAGTGGGCAACGACACTTTAGAACCAGGTTTAACGATTATCCTCCTAGTAACCACTATATTGGCAAGTGACACTTGAAATTTAAGAGAAATGGCTGCATTTGAATGTTACTTGTAGTAGGGCTGAACTTAACAATGTGCTAATGTGCTGCCTGCCTGAGATATGGAACGAGCTCGGTGGTCCGAATAATGACACACCCCTGAACTGGCCTACTGGCCTACAAGATCTCCGGACATCACCCCCTGATTTTTTTCTTGTGGGGATACATCAAAGATAAGGCGTACACACCACCATTATCAGATAGCATACTCGAGATCCAGCAACGGATTACCAATGCTATCGCAACAATAGACCTAGACACACTTTTCAAAGTCTAGCAAGAGCTTGACTACATTATTGACATCTATCGTACCACAAGGGGTTCCCGTATCGAGCATTTACAGTTCTGTGTATCTGGGTCAAAACTTTTTGAGTTTTTCAAAAGTTGTAACCATTTTATTTCTTTGTATAACAAATAAAACTATTTAAAAGGTTTAAATTTTGTTAACTAATTAGGTACCCTTATTAGTGGTTTTTTAAATTTAAATATTTAGCGAGTATTACAAAGCACTCAACTATGTTTTCTTAATTTTTTTATTTTTTTATTTTATTTTATCTAATAGTCATATTATGTTAGTTAGGGAGTGGCAGCACTACTCTGTCTTTGAGTGAGATGGTATCTCATATTCTCAACACGATTAATTTCATGAGATACCTAACCACATATTTGTTCTTATTTGTTTGAATTGTATTTTTGTTTTGTTATTGTAAATGATTTAATTTAGTTCTAGTTCTAAAATTAAATTTTTAATGTTAATTTAGAAATACATTGTAATATTTTGTATTTGTAACATTGTTTTGTAAAAAATATGTTGGAATAAAAAAATCTTGAATCTTGAATCTAGGTTTCCCTCAAATACCCACATACCCTATCTAGTGGTGATGTGTTGAACTACAGGGGAACAGTTCCGAAGTAGTAGCGCTGTGTGTCTGGGTGGAAAAAAATAAAATATATGGTGTTACACAAAGTGTAACACTGTGAAACAATGGACAATTATTTAGTGTTATATTTACTGTAACACTATGCTGCAATGAGGTAAACCTTCATTCGAAATTTTCGTTATCAGCAAGTTTGGTTAGGTTATGACAGTTAAATTAATTTAAATTTAACCTACAAACGACACGTTTTGACAGCGACAGTGATATAGATAACAATTTCCCACGAACAGTTCGGCTATGCAATTCTATGATGCGTTCTGCATGACGCGGTGGTGGGCGGTGGCGGTCTGTCGGTACGGTCTCGTCGAATTTCTCCTTAGCCGAAAAGCCGATCCGATAGCTCAGCTGCTCAGCTGTTCACTCGATCAGCTGGCATTAGCTGTCTTCTCTTCACGACGGTGAAAAGAAAAAGACCAATGACTTATTGAGATGAGAAATGAGAAGTAGTTGAATGGAAACCCATACTGATTTAATTGTTTTAAGTCTTTATATTTAAATAGTTGTTATTCATGCGGCTTAAATATGCTTTTTTAAGAATATTGGTTCAATCTGATCGAGTAAAATGTCCTTGAGAGTGCGACAGTTTTTCCTTCGACCACAAGTAAAAGGTTAGCTCAATTCTAAGTCAAGCCTATGCTTATTTTTGTCTACAAATTCTAGACAAATAAATACATAAACAGACATATAACATTGGTTGTAATGTAACTATTCACATGTCTTAAACAAATCAATAAGGATGATGAAATGGCTGCACGCTGCACTTAAGTTAACGTCCTAAATTCACTCACACGGTTATTCGGCAGTTTGGTTAAGGTTAGGCTAGGTTTAGTTAAGAACAGTCATTTTAGCGAATTTCCCATACAGGGAATTAGCTATTACCGCAGGTCTCATAGTAAGACCTAAACCTGGGACCGATTTACTTTTTCGTTTTGAGGTCCCCAGAGTCCAAAAACACCATTCGTACAAATCCATAGCCCCCTATGAGTTATAAGCTACATAGGCCTATATGTTTATTTCTACATGTCTGTGTAAGCGTGATAACTCGAGCAAAACTGATCCAATTTTGTTGAAATTTGGTTTAAGCGTGTAAACCTACATTTACTCAAACGAACCAGCAGCTAGTGATGGCAAAATTTCTCAAAACATTGATGTTTAGATACATTGATGTAGGCCTATCGATCAAAAGAAATCGATGGCATAAAAATCCCGAGTCCCAAACATCAATGTTTTAACATTGATAAGAAAAATAATTTAAAAGAAGGGGGGAAATGCTAGCTGCGCAAAAAACATTCTAACAACAAAGAACACAATTTAGAAAAATGATTTACCGGTAGCCTATTGTTTTTACTTATAAGGTTTATTTAACATTGATATCTAACGGGTGTTTTAGGCCTAACTGAAAATAAAACGTTAAAAATTAACATAAAATAAAAAGAACCTCATTACCGTACATATTATATAACGTTGGTGTGAAATTGCAAAATATGTCAAATCCTATGTAGGCTAGGCCTATATAAAACCCAACGTAGGCTATGTATGTTTGTTTGTTTGTTTGCCCTTTATGGACTCCGAAACCGCTTGACAGATTGTAATGAAACTTTCAGGCATTATTAAGTATTATTTGAGGATGGTTTGTCTGAAGTTTGGTGCAGATCCGTCAAAAGGGCTCCGCCCCAGTGGCTCTGGAGTTTCCCGTGTTAACCTTATGAGTACGGTACTCATATTTAAATGGAATTGAAGAATCTTAACAGCTGGTTTAACTATACAATTTGATTCTGTGATGTTCAATAGCATTGAGCATAGCGTAGCGAACAAGCTCCAACCTAAAGGTGAGTGAGTGTAGCAAACGAACTTCAACCAGGACGTGATTGAGCCATGTGAACGAGCTCATTTTGAAAATGAACGAGCATTGGACATGAAACGACATTAGAACAGGACAATGTCTTTCTGGCCAGCTAGTAAAATTTAAATATAATATCAGTAAATACATTTAGCCTACCATGGTATAGGGGGAGAATATAAAAAGACAATTGTGCAGAAAGGGAAGCTCTTTGCTTTGTTTCAGCACAACATAATAACAGCTGAGTCTATTTCAATGCAAACTTACTAAGGCCGGTGATTTTGAAAACATTGGGAAGGATTGAATAGGCTAAAGAAATAAAAATTCAAGTCCACAACAATTAAAATTGTTGACATTATGCTAATGGGATCCACCATAACATTCATAGCCTCCTCTGATACAAGCCCGCACCCAACCGGCTTATGCTGCTTTTGTTGCCATGTAGTAGTAACAGTATATCTAAAGGCGGTGACACACTATCGTTCTTTTCCCCGATCAACACCCCGAACCGAGCAGTGAGAAGGGAGATGGGAGATAAATATCAGCAAAATTTCACTCCGAACATTTCCCCGAACAAGACCAAGACCAGACAAATTCTACCAAGCGCGGCAAAAGGGAGTTTAGAGAGAGATGGAGAGTGTGTGCGAGTGAGAGCGCGTTAAAAGTCGCTTTTTGAAAACTTGTCGCAAAAATAAAATATTCTAGAAAGGATGCTTAGTTATATGTATTGATTTTTATTGGTTTTATTCACTGAAATAACGTTACAGAATGATCATTTTAATTGCCTTTAATAATATTAATGTTTATATTAATTTTGAAAGAATTTAAGACAACATCAATTACTTAATTTACTTTAATATTATTGATATAATTGATTTAACGGTTTCTACATTTTAAACCTTGACCAAACAAACCACAACATTACATCTTAAATGATCATAATATATAACGGCAACATATTACCCAACATTTATTTATTTTACCGATTAAAGGGTCTAATTGCCATATTAAATTATAACTCAACGCTAGCACAGGCGGCCGCTCGGCGCGCACTCGCGACGGCGTACGGGGCAAAAATGTACCGTGACACACTATTGTACATCACTCCGTACATCGGACCGATCTTTTCTTTGATCTTTCACCAAAAAACCGCCTCCAGAGCGCTCGTCTCCCTGCTCGGCCTGATGTCTGGATCGGTGTACGGACCCCTGACACACTATCGAACATGCTCCCTTCGACCTCCCTTCTCCCTTCTCCCTTCTGGGTTCGGGGTCTTGTTCGGGGAAAAGAACGATAGTGTGTCACTGCCTTAACAGATAAGTAGTGTATAGACAAACATTAGCACTACGTAGACGCTCCATATGAATTAGCTCTACAGCTGTCACAATAGGCCAAGACTGTAGCATTGCTCTTTTGTTTCGCTGTTCTTGAATTAGAGGAGACTTTTTTTACAACAGAATCAACTAACTTACTGTTGAAAAAACTCAAACTTAACATAAACAGCTGACTCAAAATTTTAATTATTAAAAAGAAAAGTAAATAAACTTAAAACGTACATAAAATGAGATGTTTACAATGTTAATATTTAACTGTTTATATAGCTACCGGTACTTAATGATTATATTTACAACTATATTTCAGCTTCATAATACTAAAGTGTTGAAGTAGTTTTTTAATGTTTTTGTTTTCAAAATATCAATTCAGCATTGCATGTGTTTCTTGTAGTAAAAAGCATACTGACCTCGTCTGACAGACGGTGGAAGATTCGATAGTTTAACAAATTTTGAAAACACACAGTGAAGCATACATGTCAGCTACAACAGAGCAGCAAATGGTGTAATTCTGTTAACAAATTATGTCACTAAGTGGCGAGGAGTCTCGTCATGCGTACAAACAAACTACGGATTTATACTGAAAAACGGCCCTTACTTTAAAAACCACCTGCGTAATTCCAAATGGTGTGAACCGTAAAATAGTTTTCAAACACAGTGTCATGATTTCATGTTACCTGGGAAATTGGTGTGTATCTACTGTAATAAAACTAACTTAAGTTAAGAAATGTTAAAGGAAATGAAATATTTGTGAACTCTTTCTAGGAAGTCTTGAACAAGTTGTATGAACTGTGATTCTAAGCAGTCATATCATGTTATACATAAATATCAAATAGAAATAGAAAATCGTATCCTATATGAATATAATTTATCTCACTGTAATAGTTGTCCTGTAACATAAACGTTTGCTGTTCTATTAGCCTACAATTAGGAAATAGAGAGTAAACCCCATTGGTTCTGTGCCACCAATTAGTATCCCTATTCCTTCCATAACTCAAAATTGCAAAAAACAAATTGCAGTATTTGATGTAGCTTAATGTAATTTCTATGTGCTTTGCATGAAGGGAGGTTGGTTACCCGCTTTTGAGTAGCACAAAGAGGTGTATTTTATTTTTTTTACTTGTTTTAACAAAGTGTTTGACCATTTACTTTGAAGCAGTTCATGCACTTTCAATTTTACATGAGTGGGTTTCTTGTTCTTCGTGTCTTTTCACTTAACTTAATGTAAAAATTAAGTTACATTAAGAATAACTCCACAACTTAATATAATGTAATGTTTAAAAACAACATTACTGTGTTTTTCAATAACACCATGTGTTATTGTAGTTACACCAAATACAGTGGCGGTTCTAGGACCTTGTCAAGGGGAGGGGGGCTACCGGGGGGCTTGGGGGGTGTCCAATAAAGTACTTAAGTGTACCAATAATGCAGGGGGGTACGGGGGTCCTCCCCCAGGAAAATTTGGAATTTTCAAAGCCGTTTGGTGACTTTCTAAAGCCATTTTTAACACCTAAAACCGTGCCCAATTGTCTATAAGCTCCCATTTCACCTGTTGTTTGTCACGAAGAAATAGACATTTTAAAAATTAAACTATGATGATTGCATTCATTAATTTCAATACACACTGTAGACTACAGCCATATCCTCCTAAAAGCCGTTGGGTGACTTTTTACAGCCAGTTTTAACGTCTAGAAATGTGTGCAAAACCTCCCATTTCCCCATTTATTTGTCATGAATAAGTAGACATTTTTAAAACTATGACGATTGCATTCATAAGTCTCAAAACATATTGTAGGCTACGGCCATATCCTCCTAAAAGCTGTTTACTGACATTCTAAAGCTATTATTAATGTCTATATCCGTGTCCAACTGTCCAAAAACCTCCCATTTCACCTGTTATTTGTCTTTGTCATGAGCAAGTAGACATTTTAAAAATCAAACTATGACGAACTTGCATTCATGAATTTCAAAACATAGGCCAGGCCTAATGTAGACTACCAAGCCTGAAGCCATATCTCCTAAAAGCCGTTTGGTGACTTTATAAAGTAATTTCTTACGGCTAGAACTGTGCCCAATTGTCCTAAAACCTTCCATTTCACCTGTTATATATGTCATGCAAGCAAGAAGACACGTTTTTTAACCTTACGTTTTTCTCCATTTCATAGATCTGTCACAATATGTATAGTATCGAATTCAGTAATAGTATTGACAATAAACTTTAACACTAGTGTTTATATAGTCAATATAGCCTACTGGTGCTACCTCTGATTGCTGATTAATGCCTGTGTAAAGTTAGTGGCTAGCAGACAATTTGACAACTAACTTTGGAACATCAGGAAATCAGCTGTTTCCCCGTCCTCGCTCGCGCGCTTGGCGCTCGCCTTTGCCCTATGTCAACAGCTGACTGCTGTAACAATTGGATGATGCGTACAACTTTCCATAGCGTAATATTGTTTTATTCGTTGTGCTATTGTCCACAAAGTTTATTTACTACCCCTGCTATCTCTTATTAAGTTTGATAAAAACTACATTGATGTTTGTTTTGACATTGCGTGTTTTAAGGACAAAATGTACATTTAAAGTTATTTTTCCAGGGTCCAAAGGGGGGGGGGCTTTAGCCCCTGTAGCCCCCCCCCCTTGGGACCGCCACTGACCAAATACAAACCATATACGATTGCGATTTTGAGGCTGAATTCATAAAACCTGAATCCAGTACACAAGATTAGCCTTCAAAGTGTTATGACTAAGACAAAAAAATCAAACACAATAATATTTCTGTTCTCTACAGTACAAAAAAATTAAATGTCTTCTTAAAATTTTCAAAAAATCTTATAAATAACAAAATTGATCGTCAGAATTTGTATAAGAATTTCATTTAGGCTAGAGAAAAGAAAATGAAAATGAAAATAAACATGTCTGCCTTAAAAAATAAGGATTGCCAAGAAAATATACACTTGGAAATATTGAAGGAGAAACATGTTAAAGTGACTATTTGTGTATTACTGTATCATTGCTAGCTTACTTCCACAAGATACCTAAAATTATATAAAAGTATTTTCCAAGCCCTTAAATCTTTCGTTTGTTTCAGGTTTCATTCTGAATGATTTGATCTCTGGGAAACATGTGTTGAATCAATCATATGTGAAATGTGCTGCAAAATTACCAGTTTTGGCATCAGACCTTGAGCTTTCATTGGCAGCTTTGAACATCAACACTATAAGAACACCTCCTCTAGGAGACCCTGCCAAGAGTAGAATACCTCCGCCACCACCGTCTGTACCATGGAACATCCAACTTCCACAAATACAGAACAGGATAAGTTACGAAGAACAAACACCCAACAAAACTGTAGAAGATCCCAGTAGACCGGGAGTGCTTGAAAAACAAGCTGCGAGATTAATCGTTATAAGACGGAGAAAAATGAGGAAACATAAGTTGAAAAAGCTTAGAAAAAAGATGAAATTTGAGTGGGCTAAAGTAAGACAAAGGAGGGAAATGCGAAAGGAGAAGCTCTTTCAAGCTGGTCTAATCGAAAAAATCAAGTTGGCTGAAGCCTTTGATCCAGTCAAGTATACAGCTGACAAAATTGCCAAGTCAAAGGTAGTCGATCTACCTAAACACTGGCATGGAGTACGTTACCCAGAGTTCATCATTAAACAGCTGATTGAAGAGAAAGAAGCAAAAGAAAAAGAAGCCAAGGCAGACGAGAAAAGAAGAGCAAGTATGAGTCCTTATGTTAAAGATTATTTGAAAAACTTACCAAAGTCATAATACTTTACAGTGTAAACTATAGTGTGGTCAGAATTTACTAGGGTTGCAAATAAAGTATAACAGTGTTGCCTTGTGTAAACTTATTTATTTGATTGATAATCATCCTATCTCAAGCCTACTGATAGTATAAGTAGGTTGTCACATGCTTTGGTTATTTTTTGAATCTTCATTTGTATGCATCATGTTTCTCGAGATATTACAAAACAATATTAAAGCCCGGATAGATTTAACATCCAAGAAGTTGGTAAACATGCATTAATGAGTATAAAAATAGCTTACAAGACAAAATATTATATGTTCTAACATTATCTATTATCACACATAAATATATTTACAATTCATTATCCTACGTAATATGTCATCAGTCTTGTTAATACTATATAAGCAGAATATTTACAGATATGAAACTAACTTATTGACTCATAATACTGTTTAGCCAAATTTAACTTTGACATGGTAGTTAACTTAGGCAAAACATAAAATGGCTTTTTAATCAAAATCGGTATGTATGTATACTTTAACATGGTGATTTGTGATTTGAATTTATTATCCATGCCATTTTCATATTGCTTTCATTTTAAAATCACAACCTCTTTTTTTATTTATTATTATTTGTTAAAATGTGTATTAAGTTAGTACTTAGATGATGAAAAATAAGACAAAAACTTGGAAAATTAATGTCACAGGCAATAAGCATTTCATATGAAGAGGCAAATGTTCATTGTTCACAAAGTGTAAGTAAACAAATTAACTGCATATCTCTATGACAATATCCACACTTAACTTTGACCTTAAAAACTTGAATCTTGTCAAAACATTAGTTTTTGTGTAAAAACTTATATTCAGTTATATTACAAAAATGTTTACATTTCATTCAGTTTATTACATTGTAGTAGAATCCAGGAGCCACAATATTTTACGTACCAGTAAAAACTCAACAACAAACATCAGTCTACGATACTGTCATCGATAACAATGTTTCACAATTAAGGTAGATATAACCTCTAAAAACCATTCACATAAATGTGACGCAAAGCAGAGAACTATACAAAATATCACAATGTGTTGCACTTAAGGCAATGATCCGTCTTTTTTTGGCTTGACAATCGTAGGTTTGTTGTTGTTATTAGTTGGATTGGTAGTCATTCCTTTGTCCTTGCTACAGAAGTATTCCTCGATCTCTTGCAGCGTACGTCCCTTGGTTTCTGGTAGGTAGAGGTAGAAGTAGATTGTGCCGAGGAGAGAAACTGTGCCGTACATCATGAAAGTCCCGTACTTGCTCAGCGACTGGAAGAACGGGAAAGTTTTGACCACCACAAACACGCAGAAGTGGCCCACGAATGTAGTCATGCCTCCCATAATACCACGTACCTGCAACACAAAGAGAAGTCTTATATTCTGTACATAAAACCACAGACAAATAGAATAAATATAGACTGTCAAAGGAAGCTTCCGGCACCCACCGCTAGGAGTGCCATGTAGTTACGTCGTAAGGCGGATTGGCACAATAAGTTTAAGATAAAACCATAGACAAAAGGAATTAAATATAGACTGTCAGCCATGCAGTGGCTACCATAGGTTCTGGCGCACACTGCTGGGAACGCCGTGTAGTTACGAAGCGCGTAGGCCGTAGCTACATAGCACTCCCAGTGGTGTGCGCCAGAACCTATGGCAACCGCAGCACAGCTGAATGACTATATTTAATTATTTTTGTCTATGATATATCCTTAGTTTTTAATAATGTTACAAAATCTACAGTTCTGTATCTAATAGAGGCTGTGTAACTGTTTTCTACAGTAAAACCTCTTAACTATTCTCTCGGCCTCACCCAGGAGCAGAGCATGTATATACAGTTAATAGCTAAATAGGACAATTTCTTACAAACAATGAAAATTCTAATACTAATAGTATATGTCATATAATCATGTGTTACCTTAGAAGGGTAGAGTTCTCCAATCATAACCCACGGAACTACCAGGTAGCCAATGGTGGATGCTGCCATGAAGATGAACAGGTTGAGAAGTGGGAACCATGCGGCGATGGCTGTGGCGCCTTCTTCCTTCCAGCCTTCTGCAAGGAACATGTAGTAGCCCAGGCCGAACATTGACAAGCCACAGAACACACCTGGCAAGGAATAAATAAATTAGATTTTATCAACCAAGTAAGTAAGACCACTGTCCCTAGTTTTACAGTATCTATATAATTAATACGCCAAAACGAAATTTGTCGGTTGAACTCTTCCGCCATTTCTTAACCAATTTTATCCATTGACGTCTCATTGGAAAGAACGTGTTGCATAGATTTGCAAACTGACCAGTGACCTTACATTTTTGAAAAAGTCCCTTGGCCTCTTCCCCATTGGCTTTAAAAGTTCCCATGTTATCCTTAGGAAGAACATAATTGTTTACATTTTGATCAACCGTATAATTCAATTGCTGTTATTGATTTTTCAATTCAATGAAACACATTGCATACATTTACTGATTTTGTTGAAATAAAATATTTACTATTTTAATTTACATTCGTAAACATACTACAATGTAAAAAATCGAGAACGCCTGGACAATTTGATGTTTTACCAAATAAGAAAAATAAATTGATATAGTACCGGTACTGTATTTCTTGAGCAATCATTGAAAGAACCGAGTGTTAACCATGGAAATATAGGAAACTCATAGAACGCAACTAAGGAACTAAGTAGAAGAAATAGATTTTAAAAAAATTTACTATCGTCATCAACCTATATAATGAAGAACACCTAAAATATGACGATCCCCACAAACAATGAACAAGGATGTTACCCGAAGTGCTACTATTGTGTAGGAAACATGGACTTAACTTTATGATTATTGCCAAAGGAAAACCCTCTAAGGCTGAATTGAACTGGTGTGGCAAGGACATTAAAAATATGTCTTCATAAAAGATAAGTGATTTTAAAAGAATATGACTACATCCAAGAAACTAATAAAACTTTCATTGAAGGATTCGCATTATTCACATTATTATTCACCTCTAAGGGAAACAAAAAACCATCTAAACAACAGGCCTTTCAATTCTGCATTTTTTTCAAGTAAAATTAATTTACGTTATAACAGTAACTAGCCAAGTTAATGCCAATTGAAGCAAATAAAATTGTGACAGAGAGGTTATAAAGAAAATCAGGTAGTTATTAAGTAATGTAAACAAAATGTTATCGCTATAAAAAAATTACTGTACTGAAATTTGTACTGGGGGCAATGGGTGGTACCATGCAGACTACATTGTCATTGACGAAGATCAACATGGACAACCAAATGGGGCTATAAGTGGGGAACATTTGTAGAATACACTAAAAATCAGATCAGCTTTTGAAAAATGGTAAAATATTCCCAAGAAATGTTGATTAATATGGAACTGTTAGGTACCGGTACGTAATCTATGAGTTGAGCTTTTTAAACTCATCGGAAATTATGACTTTTATTATTTTTTAAATAAGTTATTTGTTTTTTAATAACTACTTTACTTCTTTGCAATTGCTCGATTTCAAGCAAAATGTACACTATAGTTCGGCCGCTTAGAAAACGACCTGCGCGCTAATGCTAAACCAATGCTGGAGGAGGTCGTTTTCTAAGCGGCCGACCTATAGTTGTACATAGTTATGGTAATAAAATTAGGTCATAAATTAAACATTGTTTGCTTTGAAATTTATTCATGTGTATGGTTGAAGTAATTTTACATTTAGGGTTCCAAATAAGTGACAAAGTTTGGATGGATGGATGTTTGTGACAAGTAATTGCGAAAAATACTGAAATGGTATTGGTCTGAAATTTGGTATGAAGACAGCTCACATTCCCGATTAACATATATACGCATTCTTATCTCAATAATCCTTTCGGGCTACGCCCCAATGGCTCTGGAGTTTCCCATGTTAACCTTATGAGTATTCATATTTAAAAGGAATAAAAGCTATTTCAATTACACAAGTTAGTTCTATGATATTAAATAGTATTTAAACAAGTTATAAGATTTAACAACAGGGTGCAGCACTATTAATTTTTAGCGAATTTCCCATATAGGGAATAAGCTATTACCGTAGTACTCATGGTAAGACCTGGACGCGGGACCGATTTTTTTTTTCGTTTTGAGGTCCCTAGAGGCCAAAAACACCATCCGTTCAAATTCATATATATATATATATATGTGTCCGTCAGCACGATAACTCGAGCAAAAATGATCCGATTTTGATGAAATTTGGTACAAACGTGTAAACCTACGTTTATTCGAACGAGTTTGCGATCCAGCATGATCGGATCATGGGAACGGGGGTTTACGGGGGGTTTTATGGGGTAAAAATAGGTTTTTCCCATTTTTGACCCAAAAATCATAAAATTTAGCAATTTCTTTCCAAACCATTTTGTAGAGCTTAAAAAAACAAATAATTTAGTATATTGAAGCGTTATTATGCGCCTAATGGTTACGGAGAAAATTCCAAAAAATTTTAAATTTAAAATTCCCATGTTATTCTTATGGAGAATAAGTAAACTGTTGTAGTTTGCTTGTTTATGAACATATTTTGATCAAATTTGGAAAATGTTTTTATTTCTTACTAACTATTAGCATTTTACAAAAAAAAAACAGTTTTACCCTCCCTGATGCAGCAAACCTAAGTACTTGTTAGACTAATTCTATTTAAATCGGGGAAAATGTTATATTTTTAAGTAGACATTTCAGTGTAAATCCAATCAGTCAAATGGAAATTCGCTTAGTCTGCAGGTTTTCTGCGGCGGGGGTATTTTGTACTTATGACAAAAACTAATTTGAACCAACCAGCAAAAAAATCTGTAAAAAATGAGAATTTCAGTTTTTTTATTGTTTGGAGGCAGTGGTAGAACATTATGGCTATGGTAGATGTGCTATACTATAGCATACCGTACATTGTTAAACTGTGTCCTCTTCCATTGTAAACGCAAAGCACGGAGTATATCTTCAATAAGCATTTTATACTTAACGCTAACCCTGTACGATGGACGGTACTCTGCTAGTTATCAATATATATTAGATGTATTTGGGAAAATAATAGAATCTTCTAA